GGCAAAGCCTGTAAGTCGAGGAGGCCACCTTGAAGGCCGAAAGTGTCTTGGAAAGAAAATATTTTTGCTTTATTGTATAACAATTAGTTTTGATTTGAAAGGTACCTTATAGGTGTTATGATTTATGATGTGCGGTCCATGTTCACGTATCATTATAATAATGTAGTGCTTGTAATGCTGAGATTAGTGTTATGGATATATACATTGTGGTGCTTTGTCGAGTTGTGGATGAGTTGTGAGGATGGGTTTGGTTGTTCTCCAGCAGGTGGATAGGCCTAGTTACAAAGGAGATGCTGCCGAAATTTCTGAAAAATTTGGAAGATTTAGTCAAAATCTAGGGACTTGAGGTAGGTTAGAAAAGAGATATATTATGTTAAGGTGTTTGGGGTGGACTCTACCTCTCATTCGAGGACGAATGATCCTAAGCGGGGGAGAATTTGAGGCCCCGGAAAATTTTGCTAAGTAATTTAGGATTTTGGGGTGCCAGGTCGGCTAATTATAATATTTTATGTGCTATAAATATGATGTAAATGAATTGGATATAGTAAATAAGTGTGTAAGTCATATAATAAGTAATGTGTGGTCCAAGGAGAGGCCTAAGTCTAAGTCAAATTGGAAAATTTCATAATAGGCTAAAATTCCAAATCAGTTCGCACAAGTCCACACTTTGAACGAGCATATCTAAATATATATAAGCTTTTATGTGATGAACAACCTATCAAATGAAAGGTCTTCGAGTCTAGTTGACCTTAGTTTCTAACGCTTCAAACCGTTCGTCATTTGGACATTCCTACACAATGTTATGATCAAATTACCAAAGGCTGGATTTGCGACCAATTTTGCGATCAAAAAACGACTTGTGGACCGCATATGCGTCGCACAATGAAGCTGAGTCGGGCAAAACATTATGCTGTCGCATGTTGATTATACTGTAGCATAATCGATTATTCTGTCGATTATGCTATCGCATAATGATTATGCTGCAAGAATGCTGCCCATATTTCGATTATGCTATAACATAATTGCACCACATAATTGACTTCGGGGGTCATTTTTGGAAATTTTCATGTACGAACCCACTTTGATAAATAAGCTTTGGGGCTTCATTTGGGACTATTTTTACACTAAATCTAGAGAGAGGTGAGAGCATTTTAGAGAGAGAAAGAGGAAACCTAGCCTCCTAATCATCAATCTTACACAAACCCTCAAGAATCAAGCATGCTAATCTCTAGCTCACTATCTTCCGGGTAAGTCCTACTTCTAATATTTCATACATGAGATTATGAGTTCAAAAATATATTGTGGGGTTAGAAATAGGCCATGCATGTGACACTAAGCTATAGTATGTGGGATTAATGAACTATTTTGGGTTGTTCTTGATTAAATTGGATGAGGGAAGAAGGAATTTCCAATGTAGAACCTTGTAGTCAATTTCATATGATTAGGTGTTTGATGAAATTCCTACAAGATTTACTCCATGGGAAATCTTTCTATATTATTAATTGATTTTTGCTTTCTCCTTATAGATTATTACTACTAAAGATGTTGGTGCATTGTAGTAACTTCGGGAAAGCTCAGCCAGGTATGTTGGCTAATCTTTATCTTTCGAAATGGAATTCCGTAACGTTTTCTGTAAGTTTAAGTATAATCAGCTCAAAATTACTAATTCCCACCCTTCGGGTCATCCCGGATGAACTCGTAAATTTTGATTATTCCGAANTATAGTCTTATAGTCCTAATGATTAGTTTCTTGTTATACCTTGTTACTAACATCTTATGCCATATATGCATTTCTGTTTTCTTTGTGCACTATTAAAACCTGATTCAGGTGCCCCTCCTTGACATAATATTTGTCCATTGAGCCTGACCCTTACATGGTCAGGTTCATGGATTGAACTTCCCTTTTCCTTGTCTCTGAGCCCATTCTAGTATTCACAAGGCAGCATGCCATGATTTTGGGCTTGAAACCTACATTGGTTCATGAGTTTAACCTTTAACATGGTTAAACCCATGAATCATAATTGTTCCTTACATTGTGTGTTTATGTTTAAGTCTGACCAATGCATTAAGTTGGTATAATTAAGGGCATTTCTGTGGATCTGACCTCTTCACATGGTCAGATTCATGAAAACCTTAGCATAATAGGGCTGGTTTGGACAGTAAGAAGCTTCATTTGTGGTGTTTAAACAGCCAGCTTGCAAGAAGCAGCTTTGTAGCTGATCTTTTGCAAGCTGGTACTTCGGCTGTGAAGAGTATGATAGCAGGAGTTCGAGGCTAGAGGACATTCTCCTTGTAGTTTTATTTAGCTGTTCTTTCTTTCTTATCAGATAACAGTTGTAAAGGACTGGTAGGATAATATTCATTAGTTTGAAATCTTTTCTTGTATAAAGTTTTGGACTGACGATTTTGTAAGTGGATTGTTAATTTTTTTAATTTAAGTTTTATTATTAATAGACTTTCAACAGTAGATTTCCCTTTTGTAATCAGCATGTTTAGGATTGTATGTAATTGTAAACTGGCTGCACTTGCAAACAAGCCCAAGTCTTAGGCTCATCAAGCAAGTCTCACCTGGGTCATTGGGCCTGGGTCATAAGCACAAATCCAGGATTTTTACCTCAAAGGTCATGGCATAAATGTGATGTTTCTTGCAAATCGTGCGTATTATGATTAACATTCAAATTTGTGGTTGTGAATCTGAATCTCCTTTATTTCGAAAAGAAAGTTCATTTGTAGTTCATGATCTATGTGTATACCATGGCTAAAATGCAAAAAGGGTGGATAGGCCCAAGCCGGTGCCAATGCACAACTGGGCCCGCCTAAAATTTAAGCCCAACGTGGGCTGTTTGTCAGGTCCAGCAATAAATTTTGAGACCTTTTAATTTCTGGGCCAAATAGTGAGCCCAAGCAAGGTTTTCAAGCTGATTTTTCAACACGCCACAACTGGCCTTGTTCAAAAAATGATCAAAGGCCCAATGCATGTACCTTAAAACCCGCTCATAACCTTTAGCTCTCGATAAGTTTAATCTAGTCTTCAAATAGGAATATCCTTAGATGGCTTGAATTAATTACCTTTCTTTTTAAAACTTTTTGGGTGTGCCATGCCAAATAAAACCCCCCCAAGCCCATGGCCCTCGTAAAAATTGGTTAACTCTTATAGGAAGTTGAGGTGTGCCATTTTTCCTTTTAATAGCCCATGGCCCTCACAAAACTAGTTAGCTCTTATAGAAATTTGAGGTGTGTCATTTTCATTAAATAACCCATGGCCCTCACATAAATATCAACTTAGTATTAAAATAACCCTTAAATAATCATAGTTTGCTTTAGGTCCGGTTTAGATTACTATTGCGATTATGTTTGCATAACATAATTGCAAATTTAATTCTAAAAATAACTCGAGGGATGCGTTCGCGCAACTTCAACCAAATTTTTCTTAATAAAATAAACAAAGCGTTATTAATTGTGGACACGTTCGCATGACATGATTTGGACGCGCCAAATGAAAAGAGTATACGTACGCGTAACTCAATTCTTTAATTACGAATAAATCAAGTGATTAAAAGCGGTAAAAGGTAAATGCACATAGGTTTTTAAAATAAGTAATTAGACAACTTAAGCAGAGTAATAATCACTAAGCGACCGTGCTAGAACCACGAAATCTGTGAATGCCTAACACCTTCTCCCGGGTTAACAGAATTCCTTATCTAGAATTTCTGGTTCGCAGACTTTAAAAAATAAAAACTTCCTCGATTTGGGATTTAAAATAAATCGGTGACTTGGGACACCAAATAATTTATTCCAAGCGGTGACTCTAAAAAATTAAATAAATAATCCCATTTCGATTTATGTCACTTTAATTGGAAAAATTCCCTTATATACCATCTCGGGTGTGTAAAAAGGAGGTGTGACAGCTCTGGCGACTCTGCTGGGGATAAGAACCTCGAACTTCCGGTTCAGGGTTTAAGAATTCGAGCTTGTTAATGTGATTTTATTTGGCTTTATTTATTTGTTGATATTACTGTATTTTGTGGATCCAATGTGCTAATTTCCATTTATTTGCCGCTTTGATATTACTTGAACTGTATTTAAAATGTCTTCTTACGCCTCCCTTCTGAGTCTTCTAAAAAACGGTGCTCACGTTCGCGTGGCCCACTTTTTTGTTAGAGTTATACCCAAATAAGACGGGGCTGGGCAAGCAACAAGGCCGGGCAGACTTTCGTGTTCCCGGTACGTTGCCCCCTCCTCGACTCGAGTTTGTCCGCTCGGGTAAGCCAGGTCTAGAACATAAACCCTAGGTTTTAAACCTAGAATAACACAACCTCATACTGGATCCCTAGTAGGAACGATTATTTGCATCATGTGCATTTGACCTTGGGGACTCAACACAGGGGTTGGGTGCGTCTAGGACAGGTGTACCCGAAATAAAAGACCATCCTGATGCATCCTACGTGCTATGTGAATATATATCTGTTTCGGCTTGCATGTTCACCGGCTAGGAAAAGGAAATGAAAAGAAAAATCAAGAGTGAGGTAGGATAGAGAATTTACCCGATTCCAANTCTTTGTGGAGTGGGCTGCTGTGATTTATTTCTTGGACTAGTTTTGATACAATTTTTAGTAGAATTTTTGTGATATCAATTTTGAGTTTAATGCTCAATTTTGATAATAGGTCTTATGTAGAATTATATTTCCTTTTCCTACATCCGTTAGGATTTCATGACATTGTGCTTGTTTGTTTTATTTATAAATAAAAACTAGCCCTAGGCTATGCCTAGTGGATTGCTTAAAAAAAAAAAAACCCGACCCGCAAACCCCACAAAAAATTAACACGAAATTCTCTCTTCCTTCTCTCTTCTTTCTCTCTCTAGGTCGCGCGCAAGCTTCGAAGGGCAGCCATGGCTGCTGCAACCTCTCCCCAGCCTTTGGCTGTGGGAGAGGCAAACAGAAACACCATTGAAACACGTCCAATTTCAATAACAAACATTCATATGCATCGCAACTCAGAGGAAATCAATCTGCCGCAAAAACTACAAAGCTGGAGCTTTGTCCAGTCACCATCGAGCATGGAATTCCAACTGTGGAATTTACAACTGAAGAGGTGAAGGCGTTCACCATTGAAGAAGGTCTCCATCAAGCAGTCATCCTTAAATTCTCATATGGTAAACCTGATCTGCATGAGTTACGACAGGTGATTCCAAAACAGTTCGACATTAAAGGCTACTGCAATATTGGACAATTGGAATATAGACATGTATTAGTAAGGTTCGATTTGTTTGAAGATTTTGTTCAAGTCTTGTCAAGATCCACAGGTTACATTAAGTCGAAGGGAGATGAGTTTTTCTTCAGATCGTTTCCATGGACGATTGGATTCAATCCAAAAGAGGAAACTTCAAAGTCTGTTGTGTGGATTTCGTTACCTAATCTACCTGCAAATTTCTTTGCCAAGAAGTCGTTAATGTCCATAGCTTCAGCTGTTGGGAAGCCTCTTGCAGTAGACAAAGCTACACAAGATAGAACAAGACCAAGCACAGCTAGGGTTAAGGTACTTCTTGACCTACTTGATAAACAACCTAAGAGGGTTAGGATCAATATTGTTGATACAAGCTCTGGCAAGTTAGTTGAACATTATCAAGAGATCGTCTATGATAATCTCCCAAGTTATTGTACCTACTGTAAGCATCAAGGACATATTGAAAAAGCATGTCGCTGGAGGATTGATGAAAGTAAAGATGGTGTAGCTGTCGTGGATGCAAGTGCAGACCTGGACAGCCTTGACAAATTGCAAGGTGATGCAAGGGAGTTCTTAATGCTAAAAAGGCTATGCAACGAAGTGGTGAATCAAGAAAACAAAATCCAGTCGATCAGCAGGTGGTACAATTAACTGATCGTCAAATTGCTATTGGAAATAACTCCAATATGGTGGTTAGGGCAGCTGATGATACGTATGGAAATCTTGCTACGATGGTTAACAATGACCTTACAACAGATACTAGTATAGTGGATGTCACAAAGAGTAGTAAGGGACCACAAGTTGGACAACAAAGACAAGTTTCTATTAGGGACAATGAGCATATGCATAATCGAACAGGAGAAATTTACAATCTTGGTGATGGCACATGGATTGATAAAGGTCCACCCCAACCTTCTCGTGATGTCCCTGCTAGAACTGCTTTAGCAAGGATCTCTAATGTAGTTAATCCAATTGTGGAAGCATACGATAAGCTGGCTGCTGCAGCAAAAATTATGTCAACAGGTACAGTAAATGATTCTGGTCAACTACGAGAAGGCAATGGAGGTTCAAATAAAGTAGCTTCCCCAAGGCTGGCTATGGTTGATGGTGGACAAACGACTGCAGGTGGTGAAGCTGGGATTGAGGAAATTTCTCCATCTCCAATTCCACATGAAGGTGAGCAGCAAAAAAGCCCAAGGCAAAACTCTGATAGAGTAGATGTAGCCCAGACTTTAGGGAATATAAAAGTTGGGAATAAGACTGCATTACTGGAATATGTTGAGGGGAAGGTAATTGAGGATGGTAAGGGAGATGATCTGAGTAAAAAGGGAGAAATTTGGAACGTGGTTACAGGTTCAAAATCGCCTGTTAAGAGAGGGGATTCACCAAAGTTACAGGATCCAGGTGTTCGACCTAATGCCTTGAACATTGTTTCTACATCAAATTCTTTTGATGTTCTTGCTACTGCTAGGGATGTTGAAGATGATAAAACTGGTTTAAATGATAGGGTGATAGCCAAACAACATGGTCCAATGCCCAGTATTGAACAAGGAGGGCAAGGTAAGGGTGATTTAGACAAAAACTTGAATGCTCGACCAAATGTCTCAAAGAGTAAACTGGGGAATGAATTGATGAGTATTCAGGCACATAGTTCAAATGTGCCTACACTGCACTTCTCTAATCCACAGGTTGAACAAATTATTAAAGATGCTCAAAAGGAAATAATGATGAATAATACCATGGTTAAACAACCTTTGGTCACCCTAAATACGTCCGTATTTGAAGTCCCTTCACAGTCCATGGAGTCGTTTGGAGAGGCTGAAGGTGAAGCTGGGCAGCTTATGGCTTCAACGGGGAATAACAATAAGGTTATACATGGAAATTTGAGGCTGATGGCTAGCAAGTCCAAACTTTGGAAAGATCAAAGGGAGGATGATGATGAAGAAGATTGGGGTGATGGTTTTGCTGGTTATTCGTCAGAAGAGGATGATCATGAAGTTGATTGTGATAGTGTTGGTGAGGAGATTGACTCATTAGCAATGGTAACAGCTGTCGAGTGCCAACAGCAACTTCAAAGAGTCTCTTAACCTTAATGCTCCTATATTCATGCCCAGTAACTCTACAAACCCTAACATACAAAATATAGCAGCTGCAATGCATGCAGGTTCTGTGCAACAGCAGCAAGATAGTCCAAACATCTCACATGTTAAACCTACAGGTGCTAGAACAACAAAGTCGACACAAAACTCTGGGCAGCTGCAACTTGAGACAACCAGCAATACAATGCAGGTTATCACAACTGCTAGTCCTATTGATGATCGAGAAGGTACAACAGCAAAATCTGGACAGAAACTAAGTTTTATAACCAGTCCAGTTATTTCAACGGAGGAGAGAAAGCTATTAGATGCAATGGTGAGTCCTAGTTCTTTAAATCCAGTTAAATCTTTAATATCTACTGCGGGTAGCACTGGATGCGTTAGTACGAGCAAAAAGAATATGCAACTTAGGGAACAAAATCAAAACAAGGCAATAGAGGCTAAAAACAAAGATGGAAACACAATGGTGTCACTTGGTGTTAGTCAAAATGCTCCAAAACCAGTACACTTAGGGAGAGACTTGTATGAAGAAGGAGAGGAAGATGCAATATTACAACAATGTAGAGTAGAGGCAGCAAGAAAAGGTGATTTATCGCCAATGCATAGTGAAAAAAGAAAGAAGACTCGTTCAAGGGACAAAAGTTGGGACGGCAGGGTGAATGAAGATGCAAATATAAGGAGACTTCCAATGAGAAATGCAAAACAAAAACAGCTCACTCAATCCACATGTACAAAGTCCAATCATTCGAAGAAAAAAGCATGAATTTTGAAGACATTTTGAAAAGAGTAGTGGTCGAAGACAAGGGATTACAAATTGAAGATTTTACAAGATTAGACAAAAGAGAGCACCATGGTGGTTTCTTCATTTGTTTATTTTATCATCACATTAGTGTAATTCTATGTAGTATCATCACAGAGTATGTTATAAACTCTGTGATGATCATAGAATACTTAGTGTTAGCTAGTTCATTTTTCTTACATGCTTGTTAGGTAGTGAGGTTTCTATTTGCCTCATTAGGATTAGCATTGTACTTGTCCTATGGGGTTTTTTATTTTCTTTATTATTAATAAAACTAGCCCTAGGCACCTGACCTAGCGGATTGAACTTAAAAAAAAAAATGTTTTCCTTCTTTCTAATGCCTTTCATCCGAAAAAATAAAAATCAATCAATAATCAAAATCCAAAATATGGGTTTCCTTCATTTCGAGGTAGTTTTTCCCAAAAAAAATCCAAAAAAAAAAAATCATCAGAAACCAAAAAAAGAAAAAACCAAAAAATACTCTTTTCTTCTTTAGAAGTCTTTCTTTTGTAAATGTCCATAAAAAATTGGAAAAAAAAATGAAGTCCTAAAATATTTTCGCTTTTCTTTAGAAGTACTTTTGTAAATAAATAAATAAAAACTTAGAAATCCAAAATATATCCTTAAAAGTCCCTCTTTCGAAAATTAAGAGGCAACATCCAAAATCCAAAAATATTTAGAAAAAGAGAAAACAAAAGAAAATTCAAACAAAAATATTTTCTTTTTACTTTTGTAATTCTCAAAGTTCAAATCAAAAGCAAATGAATATTTTTTAGAAGTCTTTCTTTCAAAAAAAGCAAAACACAAGTCAAAAAATCAAAAAAAAAATATTTCCTTTCTTCTTTTAAAACATTTCTTTCAAAAAATTCCAATAATAAAAAAAAAAAGAGTTAGCTTATTTACTCCATTCTCAATCTTCCCGAACTACGCAAGATCTGAGTCATGCGGCGTCATGATACGTAGGCAATCCCCATTGGATTCGAACATAGCCATAAAATAAACTGAGTGAAAAAATAAACTGTAACAAAGGAAAAGAGAAAATTTGAGTGAAAGGAAAAAAAAGAGTGCCAAAAATAAAAGAGCCACATAAACAAGATGAAAAATCAAGAGTGATTTAAGAGAGATAGAAATAAAAGAAAAGAGGTGCAGAGTGAAAAAGGCTACTTAAGGTCGGGATGAAACATGCAACCATTCAAACACATGGTAGAAACGTTTAACTGTTTAGGTGCATTGCGAAGCAGCCAGGTTTTGGTGGTTGGTTTTGTTGGTAGTCTAGCCTCCCCTCCTTCATAAGATCCAAAGGCACAGATGGCCTCCGCAAGCAATCTACCAATCATCAATCCCGAGGATAGCCCGGCATCGGCTATTCTGCAGCTAGAATCAGCAACTGCTGAAGAGAATAGGATGTTGCGTCTCCGCATATTGGAAATGTGGGATGCCTGGTCTAATGGTAGGGAACCGCCAAGTGAAATCCCTGGGTTCCCTGGGTTGATCCCAAGGTCTGGTGAGGTTACCAACGCTCCAGTGCCCAACCCTCTCATTCCATGTGGGCACCCTCCAATGCCCTCCAATGATCCTGGCATGCCTTCTGTGGTTCGCCCCCAGGCATCGGCTTCAAGGGCACTGTAATGACCCGACCGATCGTTTTGAGCTCTAACGCGTCGTTCAGCAGTCTGAGGCCATGAGCAGCTTCATTTCAGGTATTATGACTTGTACGCGTGGTCGGAATTGAATTTTGTGAAGTTCGGATTTGATTTGGAAAGAGAATTCTCATTTCGGAAGCTTAAAGTTGAAAGAATTAACTAGGATTGGATTTTTGAGTAAACGACCTCGGAATCGGGATCTGAAGATTCCAGCAGGTTCGTATGATGATTTCGGACTTGGGCGTATGCCCGGTTCGGATTTTGGATAACCCGGGAGCGTTTTGGCGCCTATTATGGAAGTTAGCATTTTGGAAGAAATTTCATAAGTTTGGCTTGAAGTGCATTTCAGTGTTATCGATGTCCGTTTGGGATTCCGAGTCTAGGAGTAGCTCCGTATGGTGATTCTGGGGTTGGGAGCACGATCGGAAGCGAATTCGAAAGTCCGTAGGTCATTTTGAAGTCATTTGACTAAAGATGGAAATTTGAAGGTTTTTGAGAAGTTTGACCGGAAGTGGACTTTTGATATCTGGATCGGAATCCGATTCCGGAAGTTGGAGTGGGTCCGTAATGTTGAATATGACTTGTCTGCAAAATTTGAGGTCAATCGGACGTGATTTGATAGGTTTAAGCATCGAAAGTAGAAGTTTGAAATTCCAAAGTTCATAAAGCTTGGACTGGAGGTCGGTTCATGATTTTAGTGTTGTTTGATGTGGTTTGAGGCCTCGAGCAAGTCCGTAATGTGTTTTGGGATTAGTTGGTATGATTGGTTGGGGTCCCGGGGGCCTCGGGTGGATTCCGGGTGGTTAACGGGTCGAATTTGGGTAAAAAGCTGCTGCTGGTTGCTGGTATCTGGTTTCCTTCTTCGCGAACGCGAAGGGAGTCTCGCGAACGCGAAGAGGAAAGTGGAGGGTTGCTGGATTTGGCCTTCGCGAACGCGAAGAGGAAGTCGCGAACGCGAAGGGGTGGGCTGAGCTACTACGCGAACGCGAGGAGGAGATCGCGAATGCGTAGAAGGAAAAGCTGGGCCTGAGGTCATTTGCCTACGCGAACGCGAGGCCTTGTATGTGAACGCGAAGGGGCTGGGTAACTGGCCTTCGCGACCGCGAGCGACGG